CTCAGTTCAGAAAACAGAACAAAAATCCCAAAAAAACCATATACACAGTAATGGCAATTATGAATACAACATAAAGACCACACCCCCAAAAAAAACACTCCTTAGGTTAAATTCAATGACCAAGACTAGTAATGATTTTTTGAAGTTAAAACATATATCATTTGTTCCTTCCTTCCTTCCTTCAACAAACAGTAAATAACGAAAGTGTAGTTATATATGTTATCATTCTTTTTATGGTGCTTTGTACAGCTATTTTAGACAAACATTCTTTGAGTATGGCTTCTCTGTGAATTTATTTGGGTTTGTCCCATATTGAAACAAAACTAATTAATTAATAAAGAAAAAAACATTATTTGCTTTACTGCGAAAGTGGAGACCATGTACTCTGTAGTCCCTCTTCTCTCCTACTCCATACCTCAGAAACTCTCTACATCATGGTCCCATTCTTTCCTCTAATCTATGAGGAAGAGTTGGCCTTTCTTGATAAAGCCAACTTCTCTATCTGTGCCTTCTTATTTTGTGCTTTCCATCATTCATTCTCTCTCTCTCTCTCTCTCTCTCTCTCTCTCTCTCTCTCTCTCTCTCTCTCTCTTTCTGTCATCTCACTCTTTGTCTCTGTCTCCCTGCTTCTCTCTATTTCTTTGCCTTCTCTCTGTGTCTATGTGTGTGTCTGTCTCATTTCTCTATTTTCCTCTCCATCTTTCTCATCTTCAGTTTCTCCTTATCTACTGACTCCTTCCTCACTGCCTAAAACATGCCTAGGTCACCCATATCCTAAAAAAAATAAAAATAAAATAAAATAAAGCCTTCTGATGACCCCATTATTTCTTCATCCTAATAGTTTTTTCTCTTTCACAAATTCCCAGAAACTGTCATTTACCTTTGTTGTCTCAAATTCCCACCTCCCACTTTCTTCTCAGCCCCTTGAAATCTGCTTTCCAACTCCATCCATCCACTGAATCTGCTTTCTCCAAAGTTACCACTGACTTCTACTCTGCTAATCTCATGGCCTTTTCTCAGGCCTCACTCTCCTTGACCTCTCTTCAGCTTCTCCATTATCCCTCATTCTGGATACTCTGCCCTTTCCTGACTTTTGGGATATAATTTTCTTCAAATTAGTCTCCTACCTATCTGACTGCTAAGTCACTCCTCAGTCTCTTCTACTGCATCATTATCCATCTCTTATTCCCTATTGAAAACGAAGGATAAACAACAACAAAGTTGAGTGTCGCTTAAGGCTTAGTTCAGGGTTTTTTCTTTTCCCTCTGAGCTCTCTCCTGTGGTTGTCTAATCACTATCTCAGTTTCAATCATCATCTCTAAGCAGATGTCTTCCAAGTCTATATATTTGGGCCTGATCTCTCTCCCACTTCTAATCCTCCAAGGCCACCTGAAGGCAGAATATCTTCATTTGGATATCTCACCAGCATCACACACTTTATAACAGATCCTCCATAATCTTCATCCTTCATCATCTTCATTATCTTCATTCATCCAGATCCTTCATTATCTTTCCCCCTAAATCCATCCCTTCTCTATACTTCTCTGCCTTTTGAGAGTACTGTACTGTATCCTTACATTCACCCAGGTTGGACATCTCAAAGTCATCATTACCATTAACAAGCATTTATTAAGTGTTTACTATATGCCGGGGACTGTGCTAAGCTCCTGGTATGCAAAGAAAGGCAAAACTCGTTCTCTGTCCTTAGAGAGCTCACATTCAAATGAGGGAGACAACATGCCAATGTGGTAGGTGATTAATTGGACCCTATTTTGTCAGACCTCTATTTTATTCCAATCATTATTAATCAGCTTGATATGATTCCATAAGGGCAATGACTATAAGTTATGATATTGGGCCCCAAAGCTGTGAACTGAAGATTTTAAATTCAGTTTCTCATAGGTAGCTACCTAGGAGACCTCCACCTGTTTTAACTTGTTAATGGGGGCCCAGCCCAGTGTTGGCAAAGGTGACTCAATTACATGGAAAGTCCCTCAGCTATTCTTGTTATCCCTCCATCCCTTGTCATCTCTCTATTGCCCAACATGGGAGCTGACCATGACCATTTAGCCAATAAGTGACCCTCATTGCTGGCCTGCGACCTGCCTTTCTACAAGCCCATCCACCCATATAGATGGTTTGATATCTGTTTATCAGCCCAGCCCATGGTCTGCTCATCACCTTGGTAGGACCTCCTGAAAGATCAAGATAGGTCTGTCAAGGTCTGCTCATTAGCCCATTTGTCAACCAATGGGATTCTGTTCTTCACATAGACCCTCCTGAAGGGTCAAGGGCAAGGTCTATCAACCAATAAGATTCTTTATTTTTAGTTTGCTTCACCTGTATTGTCTGGGTATCAAGCACCATAAAACTAAGGCCCTGCAGGAAGGGGGCATCTCAGATTGTAAGGAAGATCTGAGATCCACTTCATTACAGTGCCATTGGCTCAGAGCTCTGCCTCAGTGTCTTTTATTGTAGGTTGGGCAATTGTGGACCCCACACAAAGGACTGTGTGTATACAAGATATATTTGATACATGTGAGATAACTCCAAAGAGAAGACACTATCAAGGGGGGACCAGGAAAGGCCTCCTGTAGAAAGTGGGGTTTGAATTGAGTCTTAAATAAAGCCAAGGAGTACAGGTGAGAAAGGAGAGCATCCCCAGCATAAGGGACAGTCAGGAGATGGAGTGCCCTGTGCTAGGTACAGCAAGGAGACCAGTGTCATTGCGTCGGAGATTTGGCAAAGTGGAGTCATCCTTGATTCCTCCTTCTCACTCATCCTCGGTATCAAATCGGTTGCCCAATTTGGTCAATTCTACCTCTTACAATGTCTCTCAGATGTATCTCCTCCATATATTCACTGCAGTTCCCTGGGTCTGGCCCTCATCGCCTCTCACGTGCACTACTGAAAGTTCATGCCAGTTGGTTTCCTGGCTTTCAGTCTCTCTCTTTTCCAATCACTCCTCTCCAGAGCTGCTGAAATAATGAGGATGATCACAACGTTTCCCTGCTCCGAAGTCTTCAGTGACTCCCTGTTTTGTTGTTGTTGTTCAGACATTTCAGTCTGTCTGACTCTTCATGACCCCATTTGGAGTTTTCTTTGCAAAGATACTAGGGCGAGGGGCAGCTAGGTGGCTCAGTGGATAGAGCACCGGCCCTGATGCCAGGAGGACCTGAGTTTAAATCTGGCCTCAGACCAAACACTTGACACTAGTTGTGTGACCCTGGGCAAGTCACTTAATCCCAATTGCCTAAAAAAAAAAAAGATACTAGAGTGGTTTGCTATTTCCTTCTCCAATTCATTTTACAGATGAGGAAACTGAGGTAAACAAGGTTAAGTGACTTGCCCAGGGTCACACAGCTAGTAAGTGTCTGAAACCAGATTTGAGCTCAGGAAGATGAGTCTTCCTGAGTCCAGACCAAGCACTCTATCTACTGTGCCATCTAGCTACACTATTGCCTCTAGGAAAAATACAAACTCTTCAGCTTTGCCCTAAAAAAATCTGGCTCTCACTTTGCCTTGACAGACATATCACATGGCTCTCCTTCACATATGCTATATTCTAATCAAACTACCCTACTAGCTGTTTCTCAAATGCAACGTTCTAGACTGGTTTTCATGCCTTCACAGAGTCTGTCCACACCTGGACTTATTTTCCAAACTGGAAGTACTCACCACCCCTGAAGACTCACTTTCTGATTGGCTGATTCCTCCCAGAACTTCCAGTTTTAGGAGGCAGTCCAAGCTAAGATATTTTCATCCCTTTCCAGTCTGTACTACTGACTCACCTCCACAGGACTTTTGCTACCATGCCCTCTTACTAGTACCTTCTTTTCTTCCCTGCTTTCAGCTCCCTTTTTTGCATTAGCTTCCCCCTTCAGGCCAGCAGCTATCCTTCTGCTTCTATTTTTATTCCCAACAGTTAGCACAATTCCTGGCACATAGTAAGTGCTTAGTAAATGCTTCTTGACTGACTTCTCTCTTCCAATTATCGTCTCTACTCAGGTAGCATCTCCTCCTTGAAAGAAAGTTCCTTCAGGGTAGGGACTGTTTTCCTTTCTCTTTGTACCCCTCTGTGGCTAGAATAGTGCCTTGCACATAGTAGGATTGGGGAATCATCTACATAAATTTGAAGCCATGGGAGTAGATAAAACTGTTGAGGCAAAGAGAAAGAAAAAAAGAGAACAGAAGACCTAGGAAAGACAAATTTAAGAGATAGGAAGAGGAAAGGAGACTTCAAGTAAAAGAGAAGAAGGGAATGACTGGAGAATCAGGAAAGGGCTTAATTAATGAATGTGTTAATTAAGAGTTGGGAGGTGGCATTTTTAAGGACAGGTGGTCCACAGTGTTAAATGCTACAAAATTAAGACATAAAAAAAAAAAGACAAAGGGAATCAGGGTGTGGCAAGAAATTGGAGAGTTCTCACAAGGGTAGAATTGTCCATGTAATAGAGTCACATTGACACAAGTGACTCTATCTTGAATTTGTAAGAAGCATATGTACTCCAAGTCCCTAATTATGTAAACAATTTGACTGGGCAGATCTAATAACCAGATGCTTGTGATAAGCACAATCGGTTTTCTTGATCAAATGCTATGTGTAACTGGTTAGCATGGCCAGATCTGTTTTTACTAAACCTTGATAGCCTCTTTAAAGTTTAATATTAATATAGGATATTGACACAATAACCTTGACCACTACTTTTCTCAACTAAAAGCTGATTGGCAGAGGTCCCCATAAAAGTAGGCTGCATGGGGTGCAAGGTACCATTCTTGACTGAAACAGAATGGCTCATTGCTAAAGAGTCTAAGCACAAGCTAAGAAGGTCCATATTCCTAAATATCCAAAATAGGAGAAGAGATCCCATGGTTTACTTCCTGCTTCCCAGAACTAAGAAGGGACTGACTGCAGCTTCACTAGCCACCAGACCAGATGGGTCTAGCCCCCAACCACTGTTCCCCATAGCCACCCAATCTGTCTGCCCTGTGCCCTTCACCTTCCAACTTTTGGTCTGCATTGTTGTTTTCACCCTCATGGGATTCATAAGATGGTTAGCAGAAGTTTGAGTGAAATTTTGGGTTACATATTCCCCATTGTACATCTGTGGAATTCAGGCAATTTCCACTGTGTTGTCACCCATCCCAAAAGGTCAATAAAAGAACCCTAGGTCAACTCACATAGTGACCTCACAGAGCACTTTGTTTTGCAACTAATTAACATACATACTATATATAGCTACTTGTTTATGCCTTTTCCACTTTCTAAACTGGTATCTTTGTTTCTCACCAAGTCCCTAGCCCAGCAGTCTACACATAGTAGGCATTTAACACAAATGTATTGAATAGGAGAATGAATGAAAGATAAAGGTGAGGAAAAGGAAAAAATCAAAGATGGTGCTGAGATTTTCCCTGACATCTCTATAAGAAATCAATATGTAAGCATTTATTAATTTGATAAATTTTTAATTTGTTATTTAATGTATTAAATGTAATGATTTAATCATTTTAAAGGGTTATTATGTGTGCCAGATGTTGGGCAAGGTTCTGGGGATACAAAGACAAAATGAAACATTCCCTTCCTTCAGGGACTTTATATCATGGTGGGTTATAACTAGTGTCAAAGTAAGTAAAAACAAGCTATGCACAAATTAAATATGAAATAATTGGGATGACACATTAACAACTAGACGAATGTGTGTATGTGTATGAATGTATGTATTGGAGAAAGGGAAACTCAAAGGTCTCAGGAATTTTGTGAACCTGAACAAACCTAAAATGAATGAAGAAATGTTCTCCAATAGGAAATAATTAAACAAGGACGGGGAAGAATTGTAGAGTGGAATATTATGACAATTCCATCATTGGCTGAAGTTGGGGTTTTTTGTTTCAATGTTTTACAATTCCTGACACCCCCTAGCTTACTTGAAGGGTCTGTGAAATTGTGGATTCGAGATGTTATGGGTCACATGGTAAAATGAAGTGCCACAGTGGGAGAGGGAGTGGGAAGAGCAAGAAGGAGCGTAGTGGGAAGCATGGAGAGGAAAGAAGCAGAGGCAGATCAGTCGTTTACCAGCTGAAAAGCCCAGTCTTTGGAGCATCGCGTCGCTCTGTGGCGCCGAGCGTGATTGATGGGCTCCTCTTGAGCTCCCCCACAATGATTGAAGCCAGATTGTCAAAAATAGACAGTAAAACAGAAGAGAGAAATAAGAACTTGAATGCTACTGTCAACTTGCTACAGAAAATGCAGCAAAGAGTATTGGACTTGCATGAAGAGTGAGGCAAACAAAAGAGAAATGTTGGATGGGCTTTTTAGCAGCCTCCAAGGACAACTGAAAGAAAATCTGGGGCATCTGATGTTGTAATCATGATGAGTTTCCAAACAGGTAATCTCATCACCCTCCAGGAAATGTGACTTCTGCTGGCATCGGTTCTGAAAGCTAGAGGAAGTAGGTAATGGGTCCCAGCCTTTGGCAATACTCGAAGGCTCAAAGGTGATGAATCAAAAGATAACAAGTTAATGGACTGGAGCTAGAGCAAAAATACCAGAAAATGTGGCCTTAACTACTCCACTTAGCTACTTTCAGAGAGTCACTGGAGGAGAGATACTCACAAATTCTGGTCAGCATGCCAGATGATCATCAGAACTTTAATCCAGGAAGAGCAAACCTTCCAGTTCCTGAACACACCAATTGATCACAAAAAATATTAAACTCTTAAGTTCGCAAAGACCATCTAGTCCAATCCCTTTTCTTTTATTCAGTTTTATTGATGTTTTGTTTTTAGATTGCATTTACAGATCACTGTCACTTCGGGAAAAGTCTCTTACAATGAAAAATAATTAAGTAAAACAAATCATAGAGTGACCTCATCTGAAAGTGTTTGCAACATTTTACATCCAGACAAGGACACCAAATGGTCAGAAAAGTCAAATGAAATGGCTCGGTACCCATTCCTTCCTCCTCTCTGCCTGTTGAAATCTTAGTCTTTTTTCAAGGTCCCCATTCAGATTCCTTCATTGCTTTCCCCCAGGTAGATGTGCTCTCTCCTGTCTCAGATTCTTACCTAGTACTTTGTGTCTCACTTGCCTTTATCACATTCTACCTTATATCACACTTATTTATTTACATGTCATATCTGCACATAAACCTCATTATAGTATACAAGATGTGCGTCATATTTCACCTTTCCAGTCTACTCACAATTTATCCCCCTCCATACGCTCTGTGATCTAGCTGTGCTGGCCCACTTGCTGCTCCTCACATACATCAGTCTCCTGAATCTCTGCATTTGCACTGGCTGTCCCTCGTGCCCAAAATGCTTTCAACCCTTGCCTCCACTCCTTACTACTCCTGGCTTCCTTTAAGGCTCTATTGAAATCTCATAGTCTACAGGAAACCTTTCCCACAGGCCAACAGCTCCCTGCTAATTTCTTCTTTTAAATTGCCTTCCATAATGTATGTATACATACATACATACACACACACATACACACACACATATATATGCACATACACATACATATACATACATATATGTATGTGTGTATGTATGTATACAGTTATCCCTTGCACATCACGGAGGTTAAGGGTGCGGTGCCCCACCCCCACCACAATCTGGAAGATTGTGTAAAAGTTTTTGGCCCTCCCTTTGCACTAGAGAAATCTGGATTTTTTTCTCTTTTATTTATGGGGTGTTTCCAGTATCTTATTGTAAAATTTGCGTAAAGTATTTGGTCATAGGCTCTGTGTCAAACATTGGCCTTCACACATCATCTGCAAGTTCCACAAAATTCCCCCAAAATTCACATTTAATTTCTTATGCTGACCCATGATATATCAAAACTAAATGAAGAAAGTCACAATGTGGAAGAGAAAACTGCATGTGCACGTATTTGCCTTGTATGAATACAGCTATTTAAGTGTCTCCTTACTCCTTGACACCATCCTCTTCAATCCAATGACACCAGCTTCTTGGCTGTTCCACTAACAAGACGCTGCATCTCTCAGCTCCAGAAATTTTATCTGGCTGTTCCCCACATCTTGAATGCTCTACCTCTTCTGCTCTGCCTACCGACCTCCCTGACTTCCTTTAAGTCCTAACCCTTCTTCAATCCCTCTTAAATCTAGTGTCTTCCCTCTGTTAATTATTTCCTCTTTAACCTGTATGTGGCTTGCTTTTTATATATTTGTTTGCACGTTGTCTCCTCCATTAGACTGTAAGCCCCTTGAAGGCAGGGACTGTCTTTGTATCACCAATGAATAGAACAGTTCCTGGCACATAGAAAACACTTAATAAATGTTGATTGATTGAATGTTGTCAATCTCATTCAAATATGAGCTCTTTGAGGGTAGGGACAGGGCCTTTATTTGCAGTTCTAGTTCTTAGCTCACAGGCTTAGTACTTAGCAAGCATTTAATAAATGATTGTTGATTGATTGACAAACAAAAAGACCAACTGACTTGTTCTCTTCCCCAGAATTATATAGGAGGAATTAAGTGGTCTGGAATGCCTTCAGAGAATTGCACATCCCTTTTGAAGGCCCAAAGCTTCTCTTTGAAACAAAGGTCCATCTTTTTATTACCAGTATTCTAGGAGTATTGTTATACGATTCAAAGAGCAGGAACACAAAAATCTCTGATGAATTGAAAATGAATATCACACAAAAGGCAAAGGTAAGGAGGGGGTCTCATGGTAGATTTTAAAAGGTTGCCTCACATAACCTATGAGGAATTTTGAAGAACAAGAGTAAAAGATGTTATCAGAGAAATACATGAAGAAAAGATGGACTAGTAGCCCTCTGACGACAAAGGATGACAAGTGGACACTCAGAGCGTGCCACTGGTATACAGAGTACACCATCAGAAGCCAAAAAATGTCAGGAGAAAGTGAGGAAGGCCTCCAACACATTGGGTGGACCTCTTATGGTAAACTTATGATAAGATACGGATAACAGTCACACAGGATGAGCAGGCATAGAAGGCTTGTGATAAGCATCATTGGAAGGAACATCTAAGCGAGATCACGGGTTCATCTGGATGTCCAGTACATCACCCTTGTCTGGCACAGAGCCTTGCATGTGCTAAGTGTTTAATAAGCACTAATTGAATTCAAGTGACCTGAGTTGATCAAGGTTCCTAAAGGAACCATAGTAAAACCAAAACTCAAGGCCAAGAGCTCTGATTTCCTGCCTAGGGTCAATATATTCTCCCAGAGTTACGTGCTTTGGTTACTTTTAAGTCATAGGAAAGCTCAGGAATTCAAAGGAGGCTATAGAAATTCTGCCAGCATTACTGGGCTCTGCGAGATGATAGGGGTAGACTAGCAATCCCTCCGGGCTCTGAGCCCTACATCTCCTAAAGCACCTTAAAGGCGGAAAAGTCAGTGCCCAGTTGCTAATACTAGCTCCCTTGGTGCCGTGGGATGGCTTACTTCTAGCCCAAGGAGTTAACACTTCAACACTTCAAAGAATTGAAGGTCTTAACTGGGGCGCCATCTAGTGGCATAGGCTGAACCCTTGAGAAAATGAGAGCCAGCATCAGACCTGTGGGCCCCCAGTATGAGGTGAGTCACATCCGCTGTGCGGCTTAGGCCACCATCTGTAAAATGATGAGAATATTAAATACTGACCTCACGTGGCTCATGAAGGTTTTGAGAGCCTTAAGTATTTCATGTTTGCTAATCACTTTCCAGCAGTTACCTTGGGAACTTGATAGCAACAATCCTATGACATCACAGAAGTTTTCTATCTCCCTCTCTCTCTCTGTCCACCTCTTACTCCTTCTTTCCCCCCTTTCCTTCTCCCTTGCCCCTCTCCTCCTCTCTACACTCTCTTCTGTCTCTCTCTGTCTCTGTCTGTCTGTCTCTGTCTGTCAGTCTGTCTCTCTCTCTCCCAAATGTCCATCTTCTAAATACTAGTATCTCCTAGCCATGCTGTATGTATTTTAACCATGGAATACAACAATTTTAGAAGAATTACAAATATAAGTTACCCAAAGAATAATGAAAATGTGCGTAGTAGAGACAGGTAATAACAGCTAACGAGTTTTTCAAAGCACTTTGCACCTATCTTATTTGAACGTCAGAATCACGCGATGAAGCAAGTTCTATGGGTATCCACATTTTGTACACCATTCAGCTGAGACTGAGAGAGGTCAAATGAGTTGCCGGGGTCACACCGGAAGTATCTGAGTCAGGATTCAAATTCAAATCTTCCTGGCTCCAAGTCCAGCATTCTTCTGCATATTACCAGACTTATGCTTGAGAAGAAGCACATAAGATTTCATGAAAGAAATGTATGAGTAGGCCAATCATGTACCAAGAGCAGGGGGTTATTATTATTATTATTAACAATAAACAGTATCCACCTTTTTCATAGCATGAAATGTGGAATCAGAAAAGCAGAGTTGGCATCCCACCTCTGCTTCTTGCTGGTTGT